AAGGGAGTGGACACGTGAGGGCTGTGGGTGCCAAACGGGATGTGGGATCGGAGGAGGATGCAGATGACTGTTCCCACTGGGGTTTGCCAGCTGCTGGCCTCCAGCCCCTCCCAGGGGGTGTGAGAACACTCGTGTGTGGGTTGTGTGCATGTGGAGAAGAGCAGGTCCTGTGGAGACCTCAGAGCCCCTCCAGTGTCTGAAGGGGCCACAAAGAAGCCAAAGAGGGACTTTAATCAGGAATTGTAGTGACAGGACAAGGGGGAATGGCTTCAAACTGAAAGAAGGGAAATTAGGTGAGATATTGGGCAGGAATTGTTCCCTGGCAGGGTGGGCAGGCCCTGGCACAGGGTGCCCAGAGCAGCTGTGGCTGCCCCTGGATCCCTGGCAGTGCCCAAGGCCAGGTTGGACATTGGGGCTTGGAGCAGCCTGGGACAGTGGGAGGAGTGGCTGGGGTGGCTGAGGTAGCACTGGATGAGCTGTAAGGTCTTTCCCACCCAAACCAGTCCCTGATTCCCTGTTGATGGGTGTGCCTGTGCTGCTGCAGCCCCTCAGCCCCAGAGCTCTGGTCCCACTGCCTTTGGGAGCAGCTGCCAAGCCCTGGGGACACACTTGGGCTGAGCCACGTCCCTGTCCCCATCAGGCTCTGTCCCACCAGGGACACTCAGCAGCCTCTGATACCCCTGTAGGTCCTGGGTGTGTTGAGCTGAGCAAGAATGAGGAGGGGCAGGAAGGACAAGGAAATTTTGGAGCAAACCTGTGCAGGACTGACCTCCCTGTGGCTGGATCTGCTGACTGGGCTGCCTGGCCTATTTACAGCAGCACTCCCATTTTCACATGATCTCAAGGGCAATGAGGAAAAGGAGCTCCGGACACACACACTGATGCTGGAAGGGCTCTCTGTGAGCCTGGGGCTCTGGGATGGGTTCCTGGAGCTCTGCTTTTCCCACTGTGGTGAAACAACCTGCAGGCAGCAAATGCAGCAGCTGGAGGGAAGAGCAAGGTCAAGGCTGGGCTGCAGGTGGTCAGGGCTCTGGATCAGACCTGCAGCTCAGGGATTGTTTTTTCCTCACCTCTCAGAGCTGGGGCTGGCTCTGGTCTTATGGGAGGTTGGGATCAGAGCTGGCTGCTGCCTTGGGATGTGTCTGTGCTGGAGAGTCCAGAGGAGGCCACAAAGCTGCTCCCAGGGCTGGAGCCCCTCTGCTCTGGAGCCAGCCTGGGAGAGCTGGGGGTGCTCACCTGGAGAGGAGAAGGATCCAGGGAGGGCTCAGAGCCCCTGGCAGGGCCTAAAGGGGCTCCAGGAGAGCTGGAGAGGGACTGGGGACAAGGGATGGAGGGACAGGACACAGGGAATGGCTCCCACTGCCAGAGGGCAGGGCTGGATGGGATATTGGGCAGGAATTGTTCCCTGGCAGGG